CCTCAATGATAAGATATTTACAATATACTTTTATTGCATCCTTTAACTTTGTTAAACTTTATTTTCAATGTCAAATCTACTATTTTTATTACATAATTCAGATATTAAAATAAAGTAAAAATTACCTTCTATGCAATTTTAATACTAAATTAAATATCTATTAGATAATCAAACTTTATGAAAATAATTAATATATTATCTCTTTATAAAGTTTTTAAAATTTAACTAAAATTCTATATTTTGTGAATATTATAGTAAAATGTATAAAAGTATTATATGATGATGTAAATTCTTAAATCAGGTTAAAAGTGTAACATTAAAATTATACAAAAAAAAAATTGTGTAACTGTAACTTACCTATCATTTTGAATTTTCTTTTCCATATCTAAAAAAAAAAAATATAATAAGAGGTTATTAATTAGAAATTATTAATTAATAACCTAAAATATAGTAACATAGAAATTATATGCAAATATAAAAAGAAATTGCATGGTTATAGAGCGATTTTAGTTGCAAATTCTGAAGTATTTGATTTATTATTTTACAATAAAATGAGAAAAAGTTATGAGAATAAAATTACTTTTTAAAGATTAATTTATCAGTGATGGAAATTATATTGAAAAAAATTTATATATGAGTTATTCAAGAGAAGTTTTTAACTAAAGAATATATCATTAAGACATATATTGCTGCAGATTACTTTTAACTACTAACTTTTAAGATTTCATTATAATGATTATTAAAAATAGTTTGGTAAAAATTACAATGATAATTATTCATTAGAATTGTTATCTAAAATTGTAAAAATGATGTTATTGGTAGAAGATAATATACTTTTTAACCTATTAATTGAAGTAGTTTTAATTATTTCATTAAATACTATTAAATTCAGTTAGTTATCAGCTATAGCACTTTGGATTCTTTTATCTTATACATATGAAAAGGAAATATTTTTTGTAATCCAGAATATAATATTATACTAGTTAATTATAAAACAGATTTTTAATCATGCAATTATATCTCTTTTGAATCAGTTACTAACCTTAGAATTCATAGATAACTTTAAACAATTGATAATGAGTTTATTCTAAATTATTATAAGATTATTAAAGAATTAGAACCTTTGATAAAATTTATTGAGTTCAAATGAATTATAAGTCAAATATTGGCTAATATCATTAAGCCATTAAACTTTATTCTAGTTGAAACAATTTTAAATTTTCATTGATAAAAGGCATTTTAAATAAATAAAAAAGTTCGTAAAATTGATTATATTTATCCAGTAAAGAAAATTATAAAAAATAATAATAATTACTATAAGAAAAGAATGAAAATAACCTTTGACATTTCACCTAAAGTGAGACAACTTAGATAGATACAATTGATTATAGAAAAATAATAAAATATTATATTGTAGTAACCTGATCTAAAAAGATTTATACTGCTTATTTAAGTGAATTAATAATTAATAATAGAATAGTTTTTTTAAAAAAAAATCAAAAAAAAACTTTTGATCGCTGTAATCTAAAATTATAGTAAAAAAAAATATTGCTAATAAAACTAAAGCTTATTTCTTTAAGATTGAATCAGAAAATAATATTAAAAAAATAATAATAATATAAATCTGAAATTCTATTAAAAGTATAGATATTTTCAAAGCAGGCATTTTTTAAAATAAAAAAATTTTAAATTGCTATTTTTATTAGTGGATTCCGTAAAAAAACTTACAATTATTAAAAGAATATGTTAATTTGATGAATAATTTGATAAATGTTATAATATGATAAAGACTGATAGGCTGATTTGTTAATACTAATAGAAGTATTGTAAAGGTCTATTTTTTTTTTAATATTTAACATATTAAATTTTAAATTCTTTAAATTAAATAAGTTTATCAAAATAACAAGAGCATATATAAAAATGTTTATAAAGTATATGATGAATATGTTGAAGCTCACATGCTTCAAATGTGAGTGTTCTTTTTTATAAGTTTTTGTTCTAATTTATGATGATTTTGAAGATTTTTCACTAGAAGAAACTGAACTATTATTTTTTATCTTTAAGTAACATATTCTATTTGTTAAAAGTCTTATATGAATGAATTATAGAAAAAAGTAATTATATAATTATATTATAAGAAATAAGTTACTCAAGTTTATATTTAAATATTATTTCCTTTTAAGTAGATAAAAAATAAATATATGTCTGATTTTCACAATTTAGTTTAATTAATGCTGCATAATCATATATTCACATCTTTTTTAAGAATTTAAAAGTTGTTATCAAATCTGTCAAAACTTTTGAGACCTATCAAAATCTATCAAACCTTATCAAAAACTATTAAAACTTATTAAAATCTATCGAAATACATAGAAACTCATAGAAACTGTCAAAACAATTTTTGAAAAGTTTTAACTTTTGCTAAATAGCTTTAGGGTTTTGTTCTGTAACTATAATATTTAGATGAGTTAGTGAGTAAATTAATGCTTATTATTAAAGATAATAGGAAGGTTATACAATCATCAGATCATTTCAATATATTTCAAAATATTAGGGCTAAGATGGTATTAGAAAATAAAGGTATTTTGAATGAGATATTATTATAGAAAAACATTGTATATTTGCTTGAGTCAAAAATTATAGCAGATCATTATAATTTATCATAAAGTATGTATAATAGAAAATTTTGATTATGAAAAGATTGCAGGAATTCAAAGTACAGGATGACTAAGCTCTTCAGATATAATTTTTCATTCTAACATATTAAAATGTGGATATTTTCCTTCATTTATAAAAGATAATAGCAAAGTTACTATTCATTTAATTGAAAATAAAGGATCTGTTCATTTATAGTAGATATGTTACCCCTGTAGTTTCATTATATCATCCTAGTCAGTTCTGAATTCAAAATTTAATTAGTAAGAATATTATTTAATAAAACAAAATCCCACAATAATTATATAATCTTTTTAAAATTAACATTGTCAGATTAATTCTTTAAAGCATAGTATTATAAATACAGTTTCAATATTTTTCTGCTAAGTTTGATAGTTTATACAGTTAAAGTTCACATTATTATAAATTAAATTAATTTATTTGTGATGGTGTTATAAGTTAACACTATACAGTTTATGCCATATAGATGTTAACTCTACTTTATCTAGTAGAAGTTATGATTGTTCTCAAAAAGGAAGGAATAGGTATAAATTTGGTTAGCTTCATGCAGAAAGTATAGGGCTATTTTTATTTATATTGATATCAAATATTGATATCAATATCAATATCAATTTCAATTTAAATTTTAATATCAATATCAATATCAATTTTAATTTCAATATTAATATCAATATTAATAGGAACAACGGTTGTTTATATATTATTTTTTAAAAAAAATATTGGGACTGAATGATTACAATTACTAATAATTAAAATAATGAAAGAATTCGTCAAAAACATATACTCTGATAATTTTGACCAAAGAGATGAACTGATCTAAAACTGCCTAAAACAAATAAATAAGATAAAATAAATAAATTTAATAATCATTATCAAAATAAGAAAAAAAAATAAATCAAAAAACATTATTCAGCTCACCTTAGCTGTAGTGACAAATCGGACAATTCTTTTTGAAGATTCTGTCCGATTTTTAGCCTAAGAGATGTAGAAATGACACTGAACTAATCTAAAATATATAAGAATAAAATAAAATTTAATAATAAGAAATTATTTAATTAAAATTAGTTAGCTTACCTTCACTGCGGTAATGAACTGATCAGTTTCGTTCGAAGGTTCCGTTCAGTTCTTAGCCAAAGTGGAGGAACTGATCAAACTTAAAATAAGAAAATAAAATATTAAAATAAATGTTAAAAAAAATAAATATATTAAACAAAAAAAAAGAAAAAAGAAAAAACAACGATAGCTTACCTTCGCTGTGGTGATGAACCATTTAAAGGATTTGTCCAGTTCTTAGCAAAAGTGGGAAAACTGATCAAACCTAAATAAAAGAAAATGAAATAAAACATATAAAATAAGCCTTTGTTGATTTTCATTTTCATTAACAATAATTTAAAATCAGGTGAATTATCACTGCAATAACGCAGCAAATTTAGCTATAAAAATAACTTTAAATTCGCAGCCTTTTTCTCTATATTAGGGTATGCGTTCACTAGATGTTTATGTAGGCGTTCGAAATAAATAAATAATTCATTTTATATTTGCAGTAAAATTGGAAAAATACAGAGTGAATTTTCCTATTTAAATTACGTTACGGATCATATGATTATTATGTTTGTAATCAATTTTTAATATTTCTGATACATTCAAGAACTTAATAACAACTTTTTTTATATTTTTTAATATTTTGGAAATCTCCTTTCAAAGAAGTGGGATCGTTAAAATGCTATTACACAACTTGACATAATTTTTTTTATTCTGATTTCAAAAAATTTAATTCATAGGATAATTGTATGTTTTAATTTTTCTTTAATAACTATCATATATTCTATAAAATTATTAAATATATTTAAACCTTTCAAAATTCAAACATGATCTTTCGATCGGATACATCAAGCCAGATGATGATTTTCATCAAATTTTTTTGTCCAGCAATAATATAAACTGGAAACTTCAATTATCCTATGTTTTGAAATTTAAATTCATTTCTTTAATTAGAATCCAAACATGTCAAGTATACTTCAATTCATATTGTATTATGGCTTTATTAGCAGTAAATTGACAAATGACGCCTTATAGATGTTACCACAATATTTACATGCTGTTACAATTATTTATTTCGTAGGTGAATTTAAATTTTTCTATTGACGTGTCTACTCTTTTAATTCTCTAGAAATAAAATGAAACAAATTTGATTTGTATGGAGGGCACTCCACTAATATCGTAAAAGCTACTGTAGTCAATAGATGTACCTGACGTATATATATTTGATCCACAAAGAAATTTGTGGAGCCGTTCAAAGATAACTTGCGACTACATTAATAAAGATGAAATCACAGGCATCATCAATAATAATGGAAGATGTTTTTATTCAGTAATATCTTTTTAAGTGGTAAGGGATTTAACGATATGCTAATTTTCGATACGATAAATCTAAATTTGAAAACATGAAGTTCAATTAATGCACCATCTCCAAGGTTCTGGTATGGTGCGGTTTTGTTACCTAATCAACAAGTTGCCTATTTAGGTAAGCAAGTTATTTATTATATTTTTAAAACTTTATGCCTGCAAATTTATAATTCAAAAATATTTATTTCAGGAGGCTACAATATTGATTATCTACCATTGTATAAAGTGATTTGTTATAAAAAAATTTTATTTTTATTTTTTAACAATGTTTCTATCCTAGATATACTATTGACATCTCTCTAACGATAGAATGGCTCTACACTTATTCTTTCTTCGGAATCATCTTCACTGGTGCAGGTGGCGAATCTTTTTGTTCATACTACTGCTGATAAAAAAAAAATAAAATAAAATAAAATTTGGTTATTAATTTTTGCAGGCATTTAGTTTCGAAGTCTTGGAACTAAATATTCCTCTTTTCTAGCAATTTACTCTCCCAAAGTTCATTTTTACACTTTCTAAATCATTACAACCTCTTCCAATTAATGAAACATCATAATCTTTATATATACAATATGTATACCAGCAAATTTAGTGATAATATATATAAAAATTAATATATGTTACTTTCAAATTTTAAGGCCGGCCTCTGGCCGGCCATAACTATGAACCTAGTTAATTATATATTACATATTGGTTAAAGAAATTGCAATTTATGGCGCAATAACACATCACATTTCATGATAAACATCTAGGAAAAGTAAAAATGTGATCCTAGAATTATTACGTCAATATAATATTATCATAACTCGCACAAGATCTATAAGTCGAAGAAAATAACCCTATCAATTCATTTATTTATATAAAAAATTATTATTGATTTGAAGTATTTCGAGTTTCTACAATCTGCTGACATTATATAATGAGTCAAGCCAAAGTTACCTTACTAGTTATAAAATAAATATTATAAAATTATAGTTGGATCGACCCGGTCCGGTTTCATCTCTCTTATGGAACGGACCGGTCCGTAAGTCAGTCCTTGGACCTGTCCTAATATTTACTGTAACGATAATGTCCTAAATGGAAATAGAGAAATAACGAGATTAAGAAAGCGCAGTGATCGTTTATATGCAATTATTATTATACTTTCTATATATCATTCAATATGTATATATCAGATGAAATATTTATTAGTTTTAAACAATTTTATTTGGTTATATAATTTTTATATTTGTATTCATTTATAATAAAAACAATTTACTTTGGTCTTCTATAAAATTAAAACTTTAATACTATATATGCTAAGGACCGGTCCTTGGACCTGTCTTATAAATCGGTCTGGACTTATTGAGCAAAATTCCTTTTAATTAATTAATACATTTAATAAATCTGTAGTTATGATATAACGTTCACCGTCTTAATGCAGTTATCACATGGAAATATTCGATTGAAAAACATTCTTGGAAACGTGGAATTGACTTAGATAATTTTGTATAATTGTAAATATTTGTAGAAACAATGTATCATTTAAGCGCGTAAGGAGTTTGTTGTCATCAAACGGAAATGTTGAAGTTGATGAAAATTGAATAATTACTGCAAATTTAAATGATATAATGTATACACAACAAAATAATAAATAACACAGCAAGAAGGAAACAGCTTGAATATGACACGAATTTATTCCCAAAAAATAGGTTAAATGGGTACATTTGCCATATTACTATTGGGGGAATACCCGATTATTTTATATTTAACCGATTTACCAGAGTATGATCTCTAACTTTCATAATCATCGTTGCATTGCAGATGAAGAATGAGGTGTAAAAGGCTTTAGAAAATCATAAATACACATCTCTTTCCTAACAAAATATTTTGCTGCTTTATAACTTTTATACATTCAACTTTATTAAATAAATAACATTATCAAATCAACAACTATTAACGTTCGAAAAAAATCTCCAAACCCGCCATATGTACTTACTCTGAATTTTTTTTTGTGGTCGCTCTATAAATGCTTCTACAATTTTTGATAATTATGACCATACAGATAAAATCGTATATCTTTCTATATACCTCAAGAAAACTGCCAAATTGCTTCAAAAGTAAAAGGTAGAATACAATGGGGTTTAGCTAATAAATTTGTTTTGAGTAATACTTAACGTTACAAGCTGACGAAAAACGTCTATTAGTAGGCTTAACAACTTAAGTTATTGATGTAGGTCTACGATTTGGAGGAGATCTTTTCCTTTATTTTATAAAAATTTTAACAATATATAAATAAAGTTAATAATAGCTATGGAACGAATCATCATTACCGTCTATGTCATAGACATATCCATCGCCTACAAAAAGAAAAAGAGAAGTGTCACAAATTTTTAAGAACTTTACTGGTAATTCTGAGATGCTTTGTTCCTGACGAAGGAAGTACCTTTGCAAGCCAATGGAAAAATATCCTGAAGTCATCATATCTGCTGTACAAACATTTGACAAGGATATTATTGCAATAGGATCTTCCCACTCTTATAAAATTTACGGATATGTCTTGAGCATTATATAAAAGTACCCAAAGAAATGTAATGAGATGTGTTGAATCCCGCATAATTAATTGGTAAAGGTACATGATTTCGAAGTAACTGGCCTATGGCACTTTGAAAGGAATTACCATCACTATTATAGTGATTTGGTAATAAAGTAAGTGATAATCAAAATCAACTTTCTGTGCTCGAATTCTTAGTGACAGCGTTTCCAAATTTTTGAATAAGCATTTGATTATTATGAACATCTTGTCAATCGATTGTTGTGCATTTATCTTGTTCGTGAGACATTGTTACCAAAATTTCATATTGGCCTTGTGAAAAATGCAAATAAGAAATTAAATTAATGCATTTTCTGGCACGGTAAGAAATTCAAAATTGTTCGAATTACTTACTAAACATTAGATTCCTTGCATGCCAAATAATCACAACTTTATTTGGTGGAATTACTTCAGAGATGATTTAACATTGACGATTTTGTAATTGAAGATGCGTAAAGTTTAATGTAATTTATTATTTTTATAATTCTTCAATGAAAACTTTGAGCCAAAATTGGTTCAATAAATAATTTTAATGGTAATAATTTATTTCCTTCTTTTAAAAGAAATTTAAATCATAGAACATTTCATAAAATTTAACAAAGAATATTTTAGCGTTATAATGTAGTTACACTTTAATTTTAACATAACTACATCAAAATTATAACTATTTCTAATATCAATCAATTTTTTTATATTAATCTATATGAAACGTTTTAAAAAGATAATGTTAAAAAATTTCTTATGACGTCAAAATTACCTCTCTCTCTCCCTCTCTCTCTCTCTACAAATAATTACATAATAAAATTAATTTAATCATGGTCTTGCTTTATTTGAATTTTTATTACATTTGTAAATATGGTTGTAACTTCTCGTCTTAATGATATTTTAAATTTGGAAAAAATATATTATGTGTGTTACTTAAGCGCCTTTGGTTCTCTTTTTCAATTCAAATTCTATGTTAATTATAATTCATTAATTATTATAATATATGTAGTGACGTAGAAAAATACATGTGAGCCTAGGTTCTTTGAAAATTTTATGAAATTGTGTTTAGTTCGTCAGCGAAATGATAAATGAACGGTTTTTAGCTTAATAATATTCATTAAATTGAATGTGAATTTTAAATCAATGAATATTAAATATTTATTATTAGTTCGCAGGAAAAACTTTAGAAAATTCAAGATGTTCCAATAAAATTTCAAGAGTTGTTGTTAATAGTTTATACTTTACATAAAGTGTCCGCTACTCTCTTCGAACAATCGAATATTTATTATTATTTCATTTATTCATTACGTGGATGAATTTTCTATAAAAAAAAAAACCTACTATTTTTTGCAAACAAACAATAAAAATTAGGTTAAGTGAAATATTAACGTTAAATATTCTATCAAGAAATGGCCGCGATCCGATGCAAGAATCGACTCGATCCTTTTTTGAAATTACCCGAATAGACTATTTATAGAAATTCATTACATATGGGAGAATATTTTAACTGAGATTTGAATAAATTAAAAAATTCTCTCAAGAGATTCACTTTTTACAAATTTTTCTTTTTTTTCAAAGAATTTAACGCAAAAATGGCATTAAAAAACTAGTTAAAGCGCTATCTCCGAGTGTATTTATGGTCCAATTTTCTCATTTCATTTTGGTAGTAAACAATTCAACAAATTTTTGTTATTATCATTGCATTCAATAAATTAACAATGTATTTAAATATAATTGGATACAAGTGGCAAGTGCCGTTAAAAATTTAAATAGACTTAATTTGGAGGAGCATATAAATAATATATTCATATATCGATATTGTGATTATGAGGTTTTTTAATTAATTTAATTTTGTTAATTGGTCATTCGCCTTCGTCTTAACCGAAATTAGGAGTAACTCATCAATCGTATAGAACCTAAAAAAAAATAAAAAAAAAATAATTTATAAAAAAAAAAAATTTAGAAAAATTTTATTTCCAATAATAACACCCCCAGCTAATAAGAATCTAAAAAAAAAAAAAAAGAAAAGAAAAGAAATCGTTGCCGCTGCCAAGATACTTGTAAGAGAAAAAGTGATACATTTAAAGATATTAATAATACGTGAACTTGAAAAATGAAAAAATCAAAAAAAACCTACTTAATCTCGATAAAAATTAAAAGTATATTAATTGTTCCGCAGTAATAAACTTAATATCCTAACGTCGGATTTGGTAATACGATAAAAAAAATAAGTTTGTATTATTAATTTATTGGCTTCGCCGACTCACCTTTTGAAGCACATAGATGACAGATTCATTTCAAAATATGCAAGTACTGTAAGAGGAAATGAATGCGCACGCATAAAAGTGACGACAATAGATTTATTAAAATGTCGACAATGATAAAAAGTGAGATAAAAAGGTTTAAAGGTCACCGGGTCATGATGGTAGTACAAAAAGGTAATTCTTACAAATATTATAGTTGCCTGGCAAAACTCATTTTAGCAAATGGCAAAGTCGAAACCCTATATTTCGACGGATTTGTTAATAAGCATATAATATAACTTCGACTTTAGTCGGGATTTTATTATGGTTTCGAGTTTCGACGGGTTTGCCAATAAGGTTTTATTACAGTTTTGCCAATGACTCCGTCGAAACCCGAGAGTTTCGCAAGGCAACTATAATAAATATATAAATTTATTTAAAAATAACAAATTTGATAGAGTTGGTTTCGGAGGTTACGAAAATTAATATCCAATTTTGAATGAAGGTAAATATAATATCAAAATCATTCCCCGCCAGATACTATAATTCATTAAATGATTCTCAATCCCCTTAGAACTAGTTTCAAACGCAAATATGTTTGTAGGTAAGTATGTAGTAGAAATCATATAACTTCGGATACTATATAATTCATTGTATTTTTTTTATTTTAATGATTGTAATGAAAATTCGAGTACCAATCAGAGGTTAATGATGATTACGTTACTATATCCATTAAAATATTCCTAAACAGCAAAACCTGATTTAAATAAAGATCTCACGTTTGAAGGTAAATATTAATTATTAATTCATTCGTAATTTCTTTTTCTCAATGTAAAATTTAATAATTTTAGAACCAGTTTCAAACGTAAATATGCTTTGAAGCTGAGTATATATAAATAAGATATGATTTAAAATTAGTGATTGAAATTAAAGTTTTCGAGCACCAATAATATGACAATGTCCGTTCCAAACTTTCCTTAAGCAAAGCATTTCTACAAATTTAAGCCAGACAGAATTTATTTTTATGAGCTTTCCTAATATATATTCCATTCAAAATATTCAAATATAATTTCTATGTGCGCTAAAAAGATGGTAGGGAAAATAATTTTGTAAAAAAATATATATATAGTTGATTTATTTTCATATTTTTTAAATTGAATGCTTTTTATATGAGTTTTTATATAAATCTTCCCTTGATGATTTTCTTTAACATCATCCCACGTGCCTATCACGTGATTTGTTATATGATTATCGTTAAATAATCAAAATCCGATCAATTTTTTTATTTTCATATTCTTTTCATTAAAGCTTTTTCAATTTATTATACGTGATACTTTCCTTTATTTTTCGCGTTTTTCTTTGTTTTTTAATACTTTTATTTCTCATAACTTCCTTTTATTTTTCACGTTTTTTTCCTTGTTTTTTTAATACTCTTTTTTCTCATAACTTGTACCAATAATTTGCCAAATGAGTCAGTCTGAATAATCATCATTATTACTTCCTTCTCGCAGTGGAATATCCAAGAGAAGCCCACTTGAATCACTCAATATACCCGATACTGTTTTTGAACAAGCATCAAGATTATGTGTTGGAATGCAATTTGATCATTGGAATCATGCAAATTTGGTCTTGTTAACTTATGGACAACAGACTGGCTTTGTATGGCGAATTCAAGACAAATATCTTGATAAAAATGGGGGAGTATATAAGTAT